TCTCTCTCTCTGTCTCATTGTGTCATACGGATTACTGTTAATTTATTATGCTGATCTGTTCTGTACGACATCTATTGCACGTCTGTCCGTCCTGGAAGAGGGATCCCTCCTCAGTTGCTCTTCCTGAGGTTTCTACCGTTTTTTTTCCCGTTAAAGGGTTTTTTTGGGGAGTTTTTCCTGATCAGCTGTGAGGGTCATAAGGACAGAGGGATGTCGTATGCTGTAAAGCCCTGTGAGGCAAATTGTGATTTGTGATATTGGGCTTTATAAATAAAATTGATTGATTGATTGATTAATTAGCCAAGAGTGATGCAGGGGCAGCTAATGAGCTAACTGTAATCTGAGCTAATGTTAGCCAGCTAGCTGTAACTTAGCTTCACTACATGGACCTGCTGTTGGTTGTTCCATAACGTAAGCTGATCAAGTAATTTACAAACAAAAACTTTCACATTCACTTTTTCATAAATTCAGATTCATTTCCAAATAACTTCCTGAGACATTTCCTGTATAGAAATACATGACCTCGTACTTATTATGATAACTACAGGTGAGATAAAGAGTGATCAGTTCACTGAGCTGATCATTCAAAATACGATAAATATTTGAATCAGGAAGTCTACAATAAACTCAGCTTGACTCAAACTCTGTTTGTTCTATAATTAGTGTAATTAGCACCAAACTAAATGAATCTTTACAGGAAACTTTCAAACACTTCTTTACAAAAAAACACATACTTTAATTAGTTCACTATTTTATTCATGACCAAACACCTGCAGCACTAAAGACATTCCATTAGAGTCTGTTCTGATAATTAGCTGATTGTTAGCTAATGTTAGCATGCTAACATGCTAAGCTATGATTGTGAACATGGTGACCATTAAACCTGCTAAACATTAGCATGTTAGTGCTGTCACCTACATTGTAGGACAGCAACACGTCAGAGCTATGAACTTGGTTTTCTTTCTTTAGTCAGTGTAAACCAACCTGATGAGGTCAAAAGTCAAAGGTCA